TCCTGCTGGAGGGTAGGAGGGAGGAAGCAAAGCATCTTGCTATGGCTGACACGATCAGCGAAACAAAAGAGGTAAATTTGATTAATAAGGGCAAAGAGGCTGGAATTACTTCTGCAAGTGAATCTGTTGTGATAAATTCTGATGCAACGCTGGTGGCAGACAAACCTAGAAAGAGGTGTAGTGATGGGAGAAGAAAAAAACCTGAAAAAAGCCCTTTGGGGCAGACAGCTGTCCTGGATGCTGGGGTGGAAACAAGCAATCTTTCAAGCAAAGAGAAGGTGGCTGGCAGCACAAAAGAAATGACCTTTGATAAAGATAAGGTGGCTGGTTTTGGAAGAGAGCTTTTGCTAGAGAATCTCACAGGTATAACCAAAGAGGTGCTGGAAGAGCCTGAAATACAGGGTGGCAATAGAAGAAGCTTCTCTGATCAGCCGGTTCTTTCAGGTCATAAAATAGAACCAGCAGACCCAGAAACAGTCAACACTAAAGAAACTTGGCCCATGAATAAAGTTAAGGAACTAGATACATCCAAGCCTCTCCCAGAGCACAGGACAGATGCAGCTGTGGCACACAGTCCCACCAGGGAACTGGTGATGGACAAGCCTAAGAAAAAAAGTAGAGACGTGAAAGGCAAAAAGGCCGAAAATAGTCTTGAGCACTCTGTTGCACTGGGTCCAGGTAACATCCCTGCAGTAGGTGAAGAGGTGGGAAATATTAAACAAATTCAGTCTTTCGATAAAAGCAAAGAGACTAATTCCAGTACTTCCGCAAGTCTGCTAGATGACCTAACTGATACTATTAAAGTACAAGCTCCTGCTATACCTCTGGAGCCAGAAAAATCACACACAAGTAATAAAGAGAAATGCAAAAAGATGGAGGTTAATGTGCAGCAGCCATGTTTTCTGGAGCATAAAGCAGGTGCAGAGATGTTTCCTCCTCGTGACGTGGAGATAACTGACAAAGCTGAAGCAGAAAGTCCCACTCCTTGCAACATGGGGGGTGGACTTCCTATCCTAGAGCATCCAGCAGTGGCAGATCGCGCTTCAGCCACAGTTACTGATAGATCTAAAAAGAGGGGTTATGATGGAAGCAGTAAAAAGGCTAAAAATGCCTCTGAGCAGCCTGTTTTTCTAGACCCAAAAACAAACAGGAGAGAAGTACAGCCTCCCATAGGATCTGAGATGGAATATGGAATGGTAGACATGGATTTGGTAGATGAAAACAGGAACATTAAAAACTTTCCCATTGGCCCTCAAATGCTTTGGAATAATAAAGGAAGCGACTTTGAATCCTTTGCTCAGACTGCAGTAACTGGCCCTGATAACACTGGCAGTGTTTATTCTGGCTTCCCAAAGCAGACAGATGAGGGTGCAAGAAGTAAGGGGCTTCCTCCTCCTGAAGCAGTAGCAGACAACAGCAGCAAAGAGCCTGGATGTGGTGCTGAGGAGATACAGGCGCAGAAATCTTGCGAGCAGCCGATCAATCTGGGACACAAAGAGCCTGGAAAAGAGGTTTCAAAGAAAGATGGTAAAACCAAAGAGGCTGGTTCCCAGGATGGGAGTGAGGCAGGTAAACCACTTTCTTTGGACCATTCGGTTAAACAGGACATTAAATCAAAGAAGGACGAAGTTCACCTTTCTCCTGTGGCAAAGGTGGATGATAAAGAAATAAGAACAGCTGATAAAAAGCAAAACAATGACAGCACTTCCTCAGACCTTCCTCAGAAGGTAGCAGATTCAAAAAATAGACCAGCTCCTGTAGGTGCCAAAGGGACAGAGAAACAAGGAGCAACTGTCTCTTCTGGAGAGAAGGACACTGGCTGCGTTTCTCCAGAACCTGCGGCGATACCAGAGAGCAAAGCAGGAGCAGCCATGTCGCAGGTTGTGGCAGAAGCATCGATGGAGAATAAAGCTGAAGAGGCTGAGTTGGATGGAGACAAGAAGAGTGAGCAGATCTCACTGAAGTACCCAGGCAGTTTGGGCAATAAAGCGGTTGAAGCAGAGGCTGCTGGTTTAAATCTGACAGCTGCTCAAACAACCAAAATAAGTCCTGAAGATAACAATAAGGGTCGTTCTCAGCCTGCAGAAGAGGATGCTGCTCGCAGTGGGGAAGCCCACCTGAAGGGTGCCCCAGCGTTGAAGCCTGAAGTAGATAAACTTGAAGACACAACTAAAGAAAAAGAAGAGGAACGTGAACAAAAGGCTGTGAAGGAGGCAAAGAAAGAGAGAGTTAAAGCAGCAGAACAGATAAAAGGCTACATGAGACCCACAAAGTCAAGAGGGGTGCCAACTCTGCCAGCCAGGTCTGCTGCTCCAGACCGAGAGAAACAAAGGCAGCTGAAATCCACTGGTATGAGCCAGCAGAGGCAAGAAAAAGGTGTGTGTTTGTGATTTGAGCTAGCAGCAGTAATCCAGACAGCTTGCGTGCAAGACCTTGCTATTTGTCAGTGCATTGGCATGAATACGTAATTGTTAATCCTATGTGGCACAAGCAAGTGTGGCATGACTGGTTTTTTGGCTAATCTTAAAAAGGCTGTTAGTTCTGCTTGCCTGTCTCACAGTGCTAATTCCCAAAGTTTGAAGGATTGACAGCTTGGTCTAAGTTCCAGAACTCTTGATTATTTTTTTTTTATCAGAATTTTATTTTTAATTTGGAGTTAATTTTACATAGATATTGTAGAATATTTAAGTAAACTTGCACTTTTTGGTGTTAAGTTACATTAGCTTCTTGTCATCCGAGACTGAAAGTGACCTTCATCTGCGGTGCAACAGTGAATCATCATCATCACTAAATAGCACTGTATGCCACTGGCGGGCAGGGAAAGGGAGTATTTCTGTGGTAGGAAATGTTCTCGATCGCTGTCATGTTGCGGGGTTTGATTTTAATCCTACCTCAGGCTAACTGCAACCATCTACTTTTCCTCCTGCAATCGGTTAATGACGACTTCTTAAGCTACCTTGAACGGCTACATCTATAAAATGTGCTTCCTTCTAGAATAATAATCTTTACGAAAGCAGAGTTGTAACAAGACAATAGTGGGACTGATAGAGATTTTAAGACTTTATGTCTCTGAGACTATAGATGGACTGGTAAGCGTTTTGGACTGTTTAGCCTGGCTGTTGTCCAGCGAACAAGATCCCTGTACTCACAGCAAATGAGATGGAATTAATTTCATAGAATTAATGAAGTTCATAGGAATTTTGACATGAAGAATATAGTATGGATAGAGATGAAATAAAAAAACGTTTTTGTACTTCTGTTCGTTCTAAACCTTCCTCAGAAAGAATTGGCGGCATCTCTGTGAATTCCAGTCTGCTGAGATGGGCTGGGGAAGTTTATCCATACCCTTAGGGCTCTTACTTTTTGCCTTGTCATCAGGCACGAAAGTTTGTTCCTGTTTCTATTTCTGCAGAGTTCCTTGCTGCCAGTTTGCATGATGCAGCCACTAACTTAACAAACGTAGAGCTCAAGTGCGCCTTAACATGCTGGTCAGGTTTTTGAGAGGTTTTGTAATTTTAATGAGTGTTGCATAACCTGAAGTAGTTCTATTTTAGTGAAAGCGGTGTTCTCTGCATGAACTTATGCCTGCAGAAGTAATGTTCTTTGGTGCATGATGCTACAAAATAAAGGGAAAGCTAAAGGCAGCATCTTTTTAAAAAAAATTCTTTAAAGCCTTTCCATTGTCTGCTAGAAGTCTTTATTTTCCTTTGCAAACTGTTGTATTCAAGGGAGCAGAATTTTAGTAGCAGATCCATGCAAAAAAGAAAAGGTCCTTCTGAATGTTTTGCACAAGCAGAGTGTGTACGGAGTTGAAGGATTCCTGGTTCAGAGTAGCTCATCAGCATGTGAGTAAGTTGGTACATACTTTGCATCTATAAGTTGGCCTGACCTAAGTTTGCACAGGTCTCTAATAATATTCAGTTGCTTTCATCCTTTCAGCGCTTCATAGACTCACGGTTGTTTTTTTAAGAGAAGCTCTGAATGACTGAGCTTGTTTTGGAAATGTTGGTTGACATGTTCCTGCGGCAGTTTAAATCCACATGCTGTCAGGTGCAGGGCTGCCAAGGAGCACTGGCAGCAGACCCGGCCCCTGGCATAGCTTTGGGCAGTCTCATGGTGACCGCGCAACATCTGGGCTGAGTGACAAAGCGTAAGTTGCAGTCGAGATCTTAGCAGTGAATGAGCAGGGAAGCAGATTTGCTTTGCCATCCAGATACGTCACCGAGGTTTGTCTCTCTTTCCATCCACTGCCCAACTCATAACGAAGTAGCTGTTCAGTGAGTTGCAAAACATCACCAAAACCCGTACTGAATCCCTAAGTTGGCACAACTGGTGTGGAAGTGCTTTAGGGTGGATCTGAGGATGAAACAGTGAATTTGCGCATCAGCTGAACACAAGTTAAAACCAGAAATCAATGAAGGGAAGGTCTTGAGATTTCAAGACCATGAACATGAGTGTGCTTGTTTACTGGGTAGAGAAGGAGCTAGAAGGATCCAGGAGATCATTATAATGATTAGAGTCCAGATTTCACTAAGTTGATGGGACCATGGACTGTACAGACCTTGTATGTGCCAGTTTATCCTCCTGTTAAGATAACAATTGATTGCTCAAAGGTTTTATATTTTTACTTATCACTGGAACTTGGCAAATGCTTCATCTGTATTTGTCAGGCAGGACCGTGAAGCTCATACTTTGCAACATCTAATATCTGCCCATAATAAACTATTTTTCTTGGTGGTGGGCAGTCAGTGATCTACTATCAAAATAATGCATGTAGATATTTTGGAGGATCTTCTGCTGAAGTTTAGTAACGGAAATCTCTTCAGCCAGGCTCCCATGTCTTACACTGTGTGTTCTAGAATAACAGGACGGCTTTCCTAAATGCATCAGCTCCTGTATGTACTGCTAAAATAGGTATGAGCTTTGTGATACAGCTCCCTGGGGAGTCATGGCAACTGTGATGCTGCAGATTTCTCTCACTGACAGAAGTTGTATGTATCTTTTATAAACTAGGCCTGCAAACTTCTGTAGGGTTTTTTTTTTTTTTTCTAATTTTGACTTTGCAGCTTAAAGTTAAGAAACATTGGATGTAGGGCTGTTCATGCAATTTGAATTTAATCCCTTATCCATCTCTTGGATTTATTTGAGCTTCTCATTTTTGTTGTTGTCATTGTAAGAACTGCCCCAGATTCTTCTGGAAAACTATTTTATGCCTTTTAACGTCAGGAGGCAGCTGAGATGACAACCAAAACATGCCAGACACTATCAGCCTTTAAAATGTGACTGAACCTTTATGCTACCTCTTGTGTGGAGTTAAAACTAAAATTGGGAAATATGTACAAAAAGCAGGGTCCTAAAATCCGTACTTCCAAGCAGGTGCCCTGGCTGATGCAGAGCTGGGGATCTGATGTTGAGGAATGGCTAACAGAGGAAATGATGGAAGACTTTCATTCATCCAGTGTTGAGCCGTTTGATTCAGATTTACTGCTAGCATCCCTCTTCCCCTTACTCCTCAAGCTGTATTTCAACATTGAGACTTTGGAAAGATTTTTTTGATTTGCGTAAGCTCTTCAGCAAAGGGCCATCTTTGTGTATGTCTGTTATAGTGATGCTCCAGTACTTAATACTGTGGGCTTTGGTGCTGGCAGAGTAAAGAGCTTATTGCATAACCACATTGTGGTCTAGCCAGTTATGCTTCCGAGTCATTCTCCCAAACATGGATTGGAGGGGCCTCTTGAAGTGGTCACCTGAGGCTGAGTTTCTCTCTTTCCTCAAAAGCTTCCATCTCAATCTCTGTTTCTGCCTTCGGTGGGCATCCTTCCAGTGCCCGTCCTTTCAGCTGAGCTGATGACAAGCTGTCTTTGCAGCCCATTGGCACAATCACCGTGTGTAATACAGTACATATTTCTCAACATGACAGCTCTAAATCCCTTGTGTGTAAATAAGATACATTTAAAAGCAAGAAATGCCATCCCTGCTTAATTACAGTATTTGCTTTTCTTCTACATCCACAATGAAGCCCTTTCTCTAAATATTTTCTTTTCCTGACTGGTTTCCATTATACTGGTGTCATTATAATGTTAAGTCAGTTTAGCATTTCCACAGTAACCTCTCATTCACACAATGTCTGTAATTCTCCCATGGGACCCCAAACTGTAATTGGGTTTGTCTAATATGAGCTGATCAGCTACATGAACGCAGCGGGCCAGTGGACTGTATGGGTGTGTAACTGCATCCATTTTACCTGGAATCATCATCACAAATGCAGTTGTGGACAAGTACCCCATAATAAGAGTGGTATTTTAATAATGCTTTCGAAATGGTCAGAATAACATCATATTGCAGCCTGTTCATTTCACTGCTATTTATCCCAGGTGGGTATATGAGAGAAATGAAAACCAAACAGTGGCACCAGCCAATTCTCATGTCAGAACTAAATATATTTATGAAGCAGCAAGAGAACTTTGCTGTTATCTGCTTTTCCCCTAAATTTTTGCATGTGTGCGTTTGTATTTGATTCTGCTTTAACAGAAAGTTTTGTTGTGGTATCGGTTCTATCTGTAATTAAAAGGTGAGTTGAGCTTAGAGAACATTTTTGCAGATCTGTAGCTTGCAGATACCGGGTATTCAGAGGCCTGTTTGTCTTCTGTTGAATCAGTGCATAGCTCTGAATATGTTCTTTTAAGGGTTGCTCAAAACAGTTCTAACTGACTGCATATGCCCATTTTTTTTTTTCTAGTTGGTTTTGTACTGTGTGTTATATCGATACTGGCTTTTTTCTAGCTGGACGGTCTCATGCAGCAATTCTCATTTTAAGCTGGCACCATAATCTTTGGCTAGGACTTCCTAAGCTTTGTTTTCTTCCTTTATTTTATATTCCTGCTCATCCTTGACACTCTGATTTTCAAAAAAAAGCTGGGAATGAAACAAATATACTTCTGTTTATAAATTCTGCCAGATTAAGACTGTTGAACACCTCTCCTTAGCGATGTTGTTTAACTTTCAGGGGATATCTGAATTTCAAGCCTCATCTTTCCTTGTTGATGTTGCTAGTTCATTGCTTTTGTATCATTCAGTTCACTTAGTTTTGCCTCTTTTCAGTTTCCACTAGCAAATACTCCTACAATAACCAAATACTGGTAATATTTTGAGTTGGGAACACTCTTGAGTGCATTTTAATTCTGGTTTTGGCTGATCACTAGGATTTTTAATGTATTATGTGTAAATTCTGAAGTAAATGGATTTTGATCTGTAAATGTCCTTTCCTATCAAACAAGAGACTGCGTTTGAGTATTGTACGGCTCCGCACCTTTTAAATATTAAGCTTGTAGTGCAAAGTTATAGTGGCCAGAACACTAAATATTCTGGTTCACCTT